TTTCATTGTCATTCGTGTTAAGCGCTTCCTTGTAAAGTTTAAATCGCCTGTTCATTTTTTTCCTGATGTCGTTAGTGATCCATGGAAGTGATTGACTTCTCACTTTTATTTGTTTCATCGGTGCGTATTCATTTACAATTTGTAGGAATATTTTTCTCCACAGCCATAGCGATTCGTCCGGGTCGTCGAAGATCGTAGCTACGTGAAAAGGTGCATTTTCCATATTGCGTTTAAAGCTGTTCTCATTCAATTTTTTATAGTTGCGAGTCTGCACGAACTTAGGTGGTGGACGTTTGCAAACAAGCCTGGCAACAGCGTATACTAGATTATGGTCTGAAATTCCCAAGGGGTAGGAGCCCGCATTTCTGATCAGGTCTTTACGCGTGGTGACAATAAGGTCTCTGAGTGTGTTCCAAGTAGGTGTCACGCGGGTGTCACTAATGATCACATTTTGCATGTTAAATAACTCGAAATTTTGTTTTAATTTTATCGAATTTAACGGCGCCGCCGTTGCGTTTGAAGTCAGAAGGGACTTCATAATTGCAATTGAAATCGCCCAGTAGGAAAACATTGTTCGATTTCAACCAAGCTGCTTCAAGGACTGCGCTTAAGGTTTCAAAGAAGTCTTGTTGGTCCGGTAGGCCATACACGACCGAAATAAAGCATTATTCATTGGAAGTTTCACTTCAATCCAAATAGCTTCTATGTCGTTGTGGTTAAGTTTCTTCGATGAATTACTCTTAAGTCTTCCCCGTAGTAAAGAACGCGTCCGCCGCCTTTGAGTCCAGTTCTGTCTCTGCGAAGGAATTTCAGACCGTCTCTGTTGAGTTCAGAATTACAGTCTTTGATGTGAAGATGACTCTCTGTGATTCCAATTATGTCAAATTTACAGAGTTCCTGCAAACTCTCAGTTCATCCAACTTGTTTCTGAGACTACAGATGTTTCTGTGAGCAATTCTCAAACATTTTGGAGAATAGTCATGGCTGGTGAGTAGGTTACCTAAATGGGACTCTGTTGATTTGACATCTGTAGTACTTTCGTTCGGAGTGTTGTGCTCTTCCAGCTCGACGCTTGACAAAAATGACTTATTCGATAAGGTGGCAAATGGTAGTGTAGATTTAAGTGTACACTGTCCACAAACCCAATTTCGTGCGTTCTCTTGAATGCGGTTAAACTCGTCTGACTTGACATTTCCACATTTCAAATGGTAATTACTTCCACAGGTCGCACATACAAGCGATCGATGGTTGATCGCTACCGTTGTGAAACACTCCTGACAGCACGGTTTCTTGGAAGGTCCGGAATTTGGGCAGATATCTCCTCTAATGACTAAACGACTAAGGTTAAATGTTGAGTCGCTGTTCGGGTAGCGACATGCCCTAAATCCGAAGTATCCCTTGACTGTAAATCGAACACGTGCAACATGGCCGCAGCACTTGAGAGAAAACTTACACCACAATGAGCTATAATAAACGCGGACCGTGGAGGTTGGATTTTGTTGACAAACACATTCAAAAGAGGCAGGTCTGTTACGCCATGAGTCGAAAATACAGAGACCGTGCAAGAAAAGAGCTACCTTCAGTAGAGAACAAAGGGAGATGCGTCCGTTCAACATCTTGCTTGCAATGTTGATGTCAGTGACTAGGAGCACCGATATTTCCTGTTCCCCTGCTCTGTAAAGACCTTATTTCCTCGAATAAGCACCCACGCTTTAATGGGCACCCCGGCGATAACCACAACTGATGCTCTAACTGCTAAGAAATGGACTCGTTAACCTTCAACTTCTTGTTCATGCATACGAAAACGCGTTTATCGTGCCTTATGTCTACACATAATGTAACAAGAGCACAACAACTGAGATGCTACAAAATTTTTGAAAAATTGAAACCCATGTATCACGAGAAATACAAGAAAGTCTGGGCATGATCATTCTGGTGAAACAAACCGGGCGACCCTAAAGGCCGGAACGGTGGAATGGCGGAATGACGGAATGGCGGAAAACGACCCCAAATCCTAAAACCAGGAACGGCGGAAAATGACCCCAAATCCTAAAATCCGGAACGGCGGAAAATGACCCCAGATCCGAAAATCCGGTACGGCGGAAAATGACCCCAAATCCTAAAACCCGGAACGGCGGAATATGACCCCAAATCCTAAAACACGGAACGGATGACAGGGCATGTTGCACAAATTTTGTACAATGACAGTCAAGTGCTTGGCTCATTCATTCTCACGACGATAACGCGCGTAACCGAACTTAGAGCAAGAGAGGATTACATGGGGTCATGCGCGTGGGAATTTATCATGGCGTGAGAAGACAAAAGAAAGTTAAAAGAAGGAAGCCGTCAAGAAAAATTTGAAGAATTTCTCCGCGACCAGGTGTCCAAAACTACGGAGCCCGCAGTTACGTGACGAGTTATTTGACGAGTTATGAGACAAAGTGGTCCACGTGCGCGTGCAAGTAGGTCTGAGATGGACATGGCAGATACATTATTCAACGAGGTGTGTTTAACACAGCTTCTTACGGAGCCCGCAAAGGGCCATTATCAAACATAATTATTTGACGAGTTACGTGACGAGTTATTTGAGAAGTTACGTGACGAGTTATTTGACGAGTTACGTGACGAGTTACCTGACGAGTTACTTGACGAGTTACGTGACGAGTTATTTGACGCGTTATGTGACGAGTTATGTGACGAGTTATTTGACGAGTTATGTTTAACACAGCTTCTGGTACATTTGCTGGCGATAAATTCCACTGAACTTAAAACACGAAGATTTATGGGTTGTCGCGTTTAACTTGATGTTGGAGCGTCGCTTGTTAACTACCGTCTCAACATTCAGAAAATTATTCAACATTCTGATAATGCTTTGGCTTTTTACCCATATTTTATCTCTTGCAATAAGGTGGACTCGTTGTTACCACAAATGTAGCTTCCATTGCGGGCCTATGTTTACGTAAATATCCGGTCAATCGCCCATGTGCTTTGAAAGGGAAAATCTTCGCGTTCATTTCAAAAAGTGTTTTGTTGCCGTGTATTGTCGTTGTTTGTAAACCCTAAGCTCGAACAGTCGGTGAGTTTTCATGTCAGTTGTTTATGTTGTAATTTCGTTTGCTTTAAGTGTGTTTTCTGTTTGCAGAAAACCTCTCCCTTACTGGTTTAGTTTAGTTTTCGATTTCAAGCACTATGTGTTTCTGTGAAATAAACAACAACAAAAAGAAATGGTTCACCTGTGTCCACTTCTCTGGAGTACAGGGTTTTGCAATTATTTTGGATTCCACGTTAGAAAACATCTCGCAGAAGGCCTAGTTCTCTCAAAGCTGAACTTGCACGGTATTTCATCCCTTGCCTGTTTATCTAGAAAAGCGTCTCCAACGTCTACAGAATGCGTGTGCTGGCTTTGTCACAAGAAAATTTGCAGGTCTTGAGGATCTTATTAAGTTAAACTGGTTACCAGTTAAAGAAAACGTTGAATTCAATATTCTCAAACTCGCTCAGAAATCATTGTACGACAATAATTCGAA